AAGAATTAACGATGACACTGTTTCTAACTATATGAAGCTGATTTCGACATTTTGTTTTAATAAGATTTAATATCGAAAATATTCTTTCAAAACTTGCCTAGGAATGTGAGGTCGATAGCACACCTGTTGCTATGTTATAATGGTTATTTCAAAACGTTTTTTCAAAACTTACAAAGACAAAAACGAGAAGGCAAAGACAAAAAGATAAAACGAATTCCCGCAGTGAATTTTCAGAGCTACGTATATATTTATTCAGTATTCATCACAAAATTGTACTAAAAAGTACTGCGTAGTAAACGAAATTGCATCAAAAAAGTACAATTGTACTAAAAATGCCAACACTGATGTAGAACAAAGCAGAACATAAATAATATTAAACTCATTGAAATTATTTTCAGCCTCTCACTCGACCAAATGAGTAAAATCCAGCTGGGTAGACCAGGGTACGAAAATAAACTGTACAAAACAATTCCCATTTGCTCATCGATCATCATATCATTTGTGGTTTTGTACAGTTTTGTACATAGTCAGAAACAAATTGTAAGATTCACTGTCATTTTCCCCAACGAGAAACGTTTGCATTTCGTTTGTGACAATTGTACCATATGGTACGTTTTATATGTATGCAAACGTTTCAATTACGTGAAAAATATTTTTTTCTGTAAATTTTCATATCCAATTCGATTAAAAAACATTTTTATTTTTTTATTTCATTGCAGCCATTCGTTTTGTATTTAGTTATTGCATATATGTACATACATACATATATTTTATTCTGCACGATTCATTTCTTTTGTTGTTTCGTATGTAACTACTAACTACAGTAGTGTACTGTCGCCAAAGTGAACTCAGCCGTTTTGTTTTCGTATTGTACCGAACTGTTAAAGTAATAAACGAAACGAAATAGTAACGTACAATATAGTTTATTTTCGTACACTGGGGTAGACTATACTCGATAGAGACAAAAATTGCCGCCACATATAAGAGTTAGTATATTTTGAGTGTGTTCTTGTTTTGGTGGAAATTACTCTTAGTCATTTTTTGAATTAGTGTAAGTGCTCATTTGCACTAATTTGTATGGATCATGAATAAGTACACTAATTTTATTAGTACTCAAAGCCGGTCTCTGGTACAAACTGAATTTTTGTACTGCATGTCTCCTAAAATATTTGAGGTAGAGTACTGGTACTTTGTATGGCTATATATGTTATCAATCCTTTACTCAGGGAAAAAATGAGGGTTATTTAAAAAAGGGACGTGGCGCCTGCCATACTGAAACTTTCTTAGTTCACACATATATTCCAGCTTTTTCTCGATGCGGAACAGATTACGACACGGTTTCACCGGCAACTCGACAATAAATCGAGCATCAGGTGGCCTCTGGTGCGTTGATTCGAAGTGTTTTTCTCAAAAGCGTTCTTCAGCTGTCAGATGCATTTTGTGCGGGGTCTCTTCTAACTTCTACAACCTTGTAAGTGCCCTTTCTAATCGTACATCACAATGCCGACCAACATTTCTATGTGACCAGGCTTCATTAACTGCGGATCTGCTAAGAATAGTCCATGAGTGTGTAGCCATGTCGACGCAGCCAATGTTTGCGTTGGCAAATCTCCCGTAATTTTCGTAAAAATCGGCGCATTGATCGTGTAACATTTGCCTGAATAATATGACGAAAGTGAAAGCAGAACCTCGCCTCTAGCTCATCCTCCTTGTGTTGACCCAATACATGTGATGACTACCGAAGACGACGTTCTTGGTAGACCCAGGCGTTCAACACACGACTCCGTTACAAAAGATGCGTGGGACCCAGAATCGAACAACAAACGTGCCGGTTGCCAACGACCGACGGGTCGCGCACCTTAACTACAGCAGTATGCAGAAAAACGGCCATTTGGTTTACAGGTAGTGGGTCAGCACCAGAATTTAAGCACGAAGAATGTGAACCGGGTTCGGGATCCATCCATGAATCGATTGCGAGTGGTGGTTTCATTGTTAAGAGGAGCGGCATCTGGCATTAAGCGCAGAATCGCATGCTTTACCGAATTTGACATTGCTACTTTTCCTTTCGCTTGTTTTTCGTAGGTCAAGATTGTTTTTCCGAATTGCTTGCAGAGAACAAATCAAAGTCGTTCGAATGTTCTTCAATGTCACAGCAAGGTCATGTTTAACAAAATGGCACCACGTTTTGAATGCGGGTAAATAATGTTTGTACAGAGCGGGCGACGCACGACTAATTTTGTAAAAAAAAAATCAGATTTTTTACTATAGTGTGCACTTGCTTATGAATAAACGTAATGTAATGTAATGTGTAATGTACATATATTGCACTATTAGCTATCCGGGTCGAAGGATCAGTAAATGTTTCAGCGGATTCCTTGCGTATATATGGTTGCGTTGCAGCCAATCAATCCGGATTAACTAACAAGTAATTTTTAAGCCAAAAACAAAACCGACATCAATTTTCATATAAAAACCAAATGGGACCACCTGTGAAGTAACACCTTTTCTTTAAAAAGAATTATAGAAATCGGTTAACGTGGTGCAAAGTCATGCGGTAACACACATACATTTTTTTTTTTAATATTCCGACGAATTGATAACCTTTGCGTTTTTATGAAGTCGGCTAAAAAAGCGACTTATTCGGAATTCATTTTCCTTTATTTGGTATTTTCTTAACTTAATAGGTTCAATAGGTTTTATGCAGTATAACATAAGGTGGTTTAAGGTGTTAATGATATATTAGCCGTCATCGATTCGCCAACAGTTATCGACTGGCGAAACGAACGAACTCAATGAGGTACAACCAAACTCGCTATCGTCTATCCGTGCTAGCTAACTTTGTTGGTGCTTTCACATGCAAAATATTTCGTTAAGCGACCGGAACTCAAACATAGCAAGCAGCGAAGTGGCGAATCGATGACGGCTATTTATACATATTACAAGTTTACAATTAGCGTAAACGAACTCAACATAATTGATACGAACATAAATATGAGAAAATTAAAATGTTTTTTTTTCGCTTTTTTTTTTAATTTAACGATTTTGGGTGCACCTTTTATTATACGAAGATTCAGATACTATTTTCCACTCTTAATTCTATGCTAGAAAGGCAATTTCTGAAGGTCTGCCAACAGCGTTTTAAAAACAAAATTGTTCACATAACCTTAATTAATTAAAGAAGTCGTGCATGTCAACACATTAACCATTAACGTACTTACATATGTATATACGGTAAAAATCTTAAACTATGGTAGCATATGATTTGGTGATAAACAGACTAATACACTGATTAACATTTTTAACCGAATAGTATTTTCGCTTTACTCACCGATTCACACGCATATACCACAAACAACATAAACACTTTAGACACACTTTAATATTTTTGTTGACTATTTAGGACTAAACATTTATTCATTATAACGATTTCGCAGAAAATTGAACGGCAGGGAAAACTGGAACTGGCAGCCAAAGAACGGGAAAATCAACGTCTCCAACAAATACCAAAGAAATGGAATCGACGTGAAGAGTATGAATTTTTGCGGGTGCTCACCGGTTACGGTGTAGATCTGCAGCCGTCCACTTCCTTAGGCCTTGTTTTGGCATCAGACTGGACAAAATTTAAGCAAATGGCACATTTGGAACGCAAAAGTGATGAGACACTAAGCGACTACTACAAGGTATTCATAGCGATGTGTAAACGGAAAGCTGGTGTCAAGCTCAACGATAATGAGCGTGGTCTCGAAGGAATATTCGAAGAAATTAGTGAGGATCACGCGAAACTAATTTTAGAGCGACTGGAATTGCTGTCAAAATTGCGTGAGATAGCGCGGCATCCGCAGCTTGAGGAGCGCCTTAAGTTATGTCAGAAGAATCCAGATACACCTGATTGGTGGGAGCCGGGTAGACATGACAAGGAGCTCATCTCGGCAGTGCTGAAACACGGCCTCTATCGATCAGAAACGTTCATTTTCAATGATCCTAATTTCAGTTTTGCTGAATCCGAAAAACGTTTCATACGCGAATTAGAAGCACAAATTCAGCGATCAATCAAACTGGAATCCTTCCATGCTGATCGCTTACCATCTTCAATACCTAATGTAAGGGGTGAGGTAATTGATCTAGATGATGAGTTACTCACAAAAGATAGTCTTATCAAAAAGGAACAATTTATGCCTTTGAAAACTGAAGTTAAATCCGAGGTGTCGGCAGATGGCGCTGACAAACTCAGCGTTGGAAAAACTGAAGCAGATAATGAGACTTGTGTAGTTTCAGAAGAAACAAAAAATAAGAATAATGACGAGAAGAGCGACACCAATGCAGATCTTAGTTCCAGTAAGGAAATAACAGACCCAAACACAGAAGGCACTGGGATCGATTCAGTACACGAGCTACAGGATGAAGACATAAAAACATTTAATGCAAGTACAGATGACGAAATTAATTCCATGCAAACATTTGAAAATATGCCCAAAGACGAAAACGAAAAGATTGATATTGATGGTAGCTTCATCAATAAAAAAGATTTGGACGCTAGTACAGCTGTTCTTGACAATGAAAACTATAATGACATGAGCACCTCTAACGACGTTGGTGACGGAATAACTTCAACTTCTGATAAGGCTTCAGAGACTGCAGAAAATGCAGAAGAGATTCAACCCGATAAAATGGAATTAAATGAAAAGGAGATTTTAGGCAAAGATGATAAGCCATCTTGTTTGGTAATTGAAAATAATAAAAAAGAAAGTGGCGACAAAGCCGATCACAAAGAGGATGTAATTAACAAGGACAGTGTAACTACTTCTAATATTGAGGATTCTAGAAGCATAAGTGCAAAAATAGAACAAACAATCCCGCAAAACGAAGGCGCTGGTGCATCGTCAGCAGATGAAAAACCAAAGTCTACTGCCGATGAAGAAATACTCGATTTAGCCATAGATGCTACTGGTGTCGCTGATCCCGATGATGAGGATGTCATGAAAGAAAAGGAAAATTCCGTTGAAGAAGAGTGCAAGAAGCAAGCGGCCGAATTAAAGGCTCGTTTCCCTGATTTGGAAGTTATACAACCCGCTACTGTGAAACAAAAGCAGGATAAACCCAAACTGGAAATGTGCATGATACGATGGTTTAAAGATTTCGCTCTTGAACGCCGAATTTCACATATCGTCATCTGTGTTGAGACTAACAAGTGGCCTGTAAATAGGAACTATACTGCATTCGTCGGTTGCAAGGGTATTGATCTTAATATTTGTCTGCATGAGGCTATCCCACATCTGAAAAACTTTGAGCGTCCGCCGTCCACAACCGATGTAATCACCATAACTACAGAACAGGGTGTTTCGAAAAATTTGCAGGCATCACAGATGCCACTGGTAGTTCCTTCGTCAACTCCATCAATCCCTATCACAACACCGCCCGCCATTGGTGCTAATATTGGCATGTCCCTCTTAACGCCTCCAGCAAATGTCGCCGGTGGTGACGGCACAGGCAAAGACATTGTTTATTTGGTCACTCCACCATTGGATTCTAACAGTATAAATCTTGCGGTAACTGCTGCAATGGCTGCAACTGCTTCTGGTGGAAATAATGCAAATGCACTATCTGCGAGTACTTTATCAGCGCTGCTCCCAGGCATGACCATGACACCATCATCCGCTGCTGCGGCGACGGCTTTAACAAATTCTCCTGTTGTACCACCGAGAGCCAATATTTCCAGCAGTGTTTCAACTCTAACTCCAGCCGCACAAACTACCGGCAAAAAGCGAAAACGCCATATAGCTATTGACGTTGAGACTGAGCGCGCCAAATTACATGCGCTGCTGAATAGTTCACAAAATAGTAAGTAGTATAATGAACTCATACCTATGTGTACTTAAATAATGGTTTATTATTCTTAGTGGGTCTAAAAGATTGGGAGACAGAAATAGCAAATATGGAACCTCCAGCTGCTTCGCCACAACCAACAGGACGTCGCAGTGCTTCATCTGCTTCACCAGTTGCGCCGACGGCGTCTGCTACAAATACGCCACTGCAGCCGCCACCTGCACATCAACATGCGTCGCTGCAACGTCAGTCATCCGGTAAATTCAGCAAACCGGCTGTATCACCACTTAAAACGCCACCAACGTCCATAGGTGCACCAATGGACTTGTCTTCAAGGTATTTATATGAATCTGCTTTTATGTTGAATTCGTAACGTATGTTTTTTTTCTCAAATTAGCCTCCCGCGGGTAAACATGGCAGACATGCTCAAATCGGCGTCAGGTGCCATTGATTTAAGTGAAGTGCAAGATTTCTCAATGTCCTCAAAGAAGGCACCTACTTCGTATTTGCAAGCTTCATTAAATTCCGCATTCCCATCTATGCTCGGCAAGGGTAAACTAGACGATACCCTTAACAAATTAATGAAAAAAAATAACTGCGTAAGTTGTAAATGTTAACGTTTATATGTTGAACCATATTAAACTCATGCAAATTTGGTTTATTTATTTGGCAGACAATTGAGGAACCTGTTATTGGCAAGGAGAAGAAGCGTAAAAAGTTAGACGAAATTGTATTGGGTCTATCAGCCGCAAAGGAACAAAAAACTTTCCCTGATCCTTCACTGCCGTCGTCCAAGAAACCGCAAATACCGCCTAGTGTATCGGTAACACCTGCTAGTTTGCAAACTTCAGTATCAATTCAAAACCAACAAATTCAAAAACCGTTCACTATCACTGTTACGACAGTGCCTGGAAGTGAGTTTGAGTCTCTGAGCCTATTATTAGCCTAGTTTTATCCTCCAATTAAATATATAACTTCGGAATATGTCTCAACACATTTGCAGAATCTAAATCGGGTGGAAACACTTCAATGCCCTCGCCGGCGCCAGTGGCTTCTCCATTAAGCAGTGGTTTGCCTTTGATGAGCGGTGGACTGTCATTAAAAGATATTAATGCGATCGTTGCCCAGACCATGGCTTCAGATCCACAAACACTGCTCAAGCAACAGCAAAAGATGATGCAATGTTTACCGCCGGCGCAACGCAAAGCGTACGAAGCTATGTTAGCGGAAATGGAACAAGCCATGAAATTGAGGTTGGTAAAAACATATTTTTTTATTTTAACTCATCTACCCGTTGCGGTATGGGTGCATTCCAAAACGTCAAAATACAAAGCATCCGTGTCTTTTATTTCTGAACCGAACTAGAAGAAGGAGTCTAACGTGCGCAACCTAGTTGAAAACTAGCATCTAACCATGGTTGCGCACATTTGGAATTACTATCTACTGAGGCTTAGAAATAAGAAATACGGATGCTTTGTATTTTGACGTTTTGTAATGTACCCTATATTTACGGTGACCAGATTTCTGTGCACAAACATCGGGACATTTCGAAAACATCGAATCCAAATTTACAATTTGGTTTTTGGAATAAGAAGACATGACATACAGCTTTTTTTTAGACAAAACAAAGAGAAAACAAGTAAGAGCAGCGCTGTCTTCGGCTATGCCGAAGGCTTCATACCTTTCATGAACATCTGCAAATTTTAGTTTGACAGATTACTGATTTTGAATACATCTGCATACATCGATAGAGGAGTTACATACTTATATAAAAAATCGCCTCTAAACAATCAGAGGTATGGAGGATATACTTTATATGGCACCAATCTAAGTGATTTTCACTGCAATGTGATCGGTATGTAAACCGGTAACACAATTTATTGGGTTTAGTTTCCTACATAAAGGAGATATATCGCAAAAACTGGTATCTGAACAATCAGTGCCATAGGAGGAGATAAAACTTATACAGCATAGATTTTAACGATTTTCTCAGTAGACTTTGTATTATTATTTATAAAATATCTTACGAAATTTATCGGTTTTAGCTGTTCAAATAAAGGAGTTTTACAGTAAAATCCCATATCTGAACAATCAGATGTATGTAAGATATATGTTGTAGTCACCCGACCCTTTTATTTTCACTGTAAGTATTCTGTTAATAATGAGTGAAAATGGTGCGAAATTTCATGTTCCTAGCTGCATAAATGGAGGAGATATGATAAAAGACCTCATATCTGAACAATCAGTTGTATGGGGGCTGCAGGTTATAGTGACCCGATCTTCGTTATTTTCACTGTAAGTCTTCTGCTGATAATGAGTGAAAGCAGCGCGAAATTTCATGGTCCTGGCTACATAAATGGATGAATTATAACGAAAAATCTCATATCTGAGCAATCAGTTGTATGGGAGCTATAGGTTATAGTTATCCGATCTTTTTAATTTTCACTGTAAGTTTTCTGTTGATAATTATTGAAAATAGTGCGGAATTTCCTGTTCCCAGCTATATAAATGGAGGAGTTATAACGAAAAATTTTATATCTGAACAATCAGTTGTATGGGAGCTATATGTTATAGTGAACCGATCTTTGTAATTTTCACTGTAAGTATTCTGTTGATAATGGGTGCAAGTGCTGCAAAATTTCATGTTCGTAGCTGCATAAATGGAGAATTTATAACGAAAAATCTCATATCTGAACAATCAGTTGTATGGGACCTATATGTTATAGTGGTCCGATTCTTCCGGTTCCGACAAATGATTAATACATTATAAAAATACACCCACCTACCAAATTTGATCCGGATATCTCGAAAACTGAGAGACTAGATTGCATACAAACAGACAGACAGACGGACAGACGGACATGGATAAATCAACTCAGCTCGACGTTCTGATCATATAAGTATACATTTTAATGGGTCTATCTCTTTTTGTTCTGGTACTTACAAACATCGGACCAAAGTTATAATACCATTTCATGCTCATGAAAGGTATAAAAACTTGAAAATGATCGCAAAAGTGTATACACTAGGAATGTTAATCCCGGGATTTTCGGGATTTGTAATTTTCACTGATGGCAACAATAGAAACTCCGTTTCTTGACCAGTATTGGCTATATTTCTTTTTTCATTTAATAATTAATATTTTTTTTATAAATGTCTAGCTCATTATACATATTACAGCGTGTGATAGTAACTATTACACACAATAATCAATATATTCGCGAAACCATGGGCCAAATATAGGAAAATGATATAGGAAATCGATGGCTGAGTGGAAGATCGACCTATCTCGGCTGCCAGTTCGAAAACGTTCTATCTCAAAAAACTTTTCAAGAACGCCCTATTTCAGAATTTTATCTCAAAATTCGGTTCAAAAACGCCCTATCGCACTTCAAAATGTATTGAAAATATGCTGATATAGGGCGTTTTTGAATCGGCAGCTGAGATAGGGCGTTTTTGAAACGAATTTTGAAATAGGACGTTTTTGAAAAGTTTTTTGAGATAGAATGTTTTCGAACTGGCTGCCGAGATAGGTCGATCTTCAACTCAGCCATCGAAATGATATAGAAAAATGATTTAAAAAACTCAGTGGAATTTGCTTAGAGAAAAAGTATGGGTATCACAATAAAGAGGAAATTCTGAAGAATTTTAACAAATTAAATTTTTTGGTGCATAATGACTGGCAAGTATTGAAAATGTCCTTTAAAAATTATATCCTTGAAATTTCGCAATATTTGTTTTTGAAAAAATTATATGTTAAGGACTGATGTAAACTCGATAACATCCTCAAATTTCGTCCTTCTAACTTTATCAACTTAAAAAATTACCTATTCGTCCTTGTGAATTCTAAAATTTTTAATTTTAAATTCTAAAGAAATTTATTCTTTAATTTGGTATCCATATTTTCATTCTACATTGCATTGAATTTTTTAAATGATTTTTGGAATTTATCATATCTAAATTACAACGTCCTTTAAAGTTAATCCTGACGTCAGAGAGAAAAAATAAAAATGCCTCTTAAAAAAAAATAAGTTTCAAACCCATTTATTTATTATTTATTTTATGGTAGGAGAGCTTCTCAAACAATATAGACGCATTTTTCTCGATTTAAGTTGTTGAAAAGTAAAGAATTTCTAAATCCCGGGACTAATCCCGGAATCCCGGGATTGTGATGACGACATCTCAAAAATCCCGCGATCGTAAAGAGCGAAAAAATTAACATCCCTAGTATACAGACAATAGATATATGTACATATTAGAGGTTTACGCCGACGGGCCACGCCAACGCCGTTTTTTTGTCATTTCTCACGCGCCGCCGCCGAGTTACGAAAATATCGGCGCGGCGGCGGCGGCTTTCGGCACCTAAGGAAATTTGTACAAAATTTACATGATGTATGCCCATTGAAAAATATCGTTTGATGGAATACTACTCGTATAAATAACGCTATTTTACGGAATCGGAATAAAACAAAGGGTTAAAAAAGTCCGTTCTAGTGGTAGTTGATGGGTTAAACTGTTGGAAAAAGTATACCTCCCTATCTATAACACGCGAAAAATCGTAAGAACTACGTAATTTAACATAACGGTAGATAAGATTATTATATTTGTGCGTGGGCATTTTCTTGATAAAAGCATTTGAAAGATGGCTAATTCACACCCAAATACATAATAACAAATATTTTAATAGAAAACAGCTAAATTTTTGCTTTTATAGTAAAATATAAATAATTTTGCCGCCACGAAGTTATTGCGCATATGAAAATGTAGCTGTTAAAGTACCAAATTGCTGGCAATATTTATCAAGATAAAAGCTGATAACACTGTAGGTAAATTTTAAGGTTTTGAAATATCACGGCCAAACACGTAAACTTAATTTTGGCCTCTAGATTACGATGGCGTTTTCAGAAAATCCGTATCACGTCAACATTTTTAGATATTTAGGAGGGAAGTTTTAGAGTTCTGAAAGTGAATTTTTCGTCGTATAAAACACTGTGCTCAGGTTTTGAATTTTTTTCTGGGCAAAGGTTTTGATAACTGATCTTACTTAACTGGGATCTTTTAAATTCAATGCCGTCCTCCGTTTTTCCAGATTGGCTCTAGTTTTCGAGATAACGGTGCTTGAAAATCTGCTGAAATTTCAGGTTTTTTGTTAATAATGTCCCCAGTTTTAAGGTTATTTTACTAAAATTTTGCACGTGACTGTATTTTGATATTACCTTAGCTATTTCTGAAAATCATGGAAATCGGTTCACTATAACATATAGCTCCCATACAACTGATTGTTCAGATATGTGGTTTTGCGTTACAACTCATATTTTATTTCGTAATATTTTTTTATAATATTAGTTTATGTACTATTTGGAGCTAAATTTGGATTCTCTTCAATCCCGTTTTGGCATATTTTGCAAGTTTCTATTGCTCGAATGATTTTTTTAATATCATTTGCCTCCTGCGATCGACCAGCAAAAGTCCGCCAACATTGAATTCAATCGTTTTCCAGCGAGTCGCTCCTCAAAACGCATAATGGATTGGTGAAATCTCTCTCCTACCTCGTCGGTTTCTGTTGAAAGCTGTTGCTCGTAAAAGTCAAAGTGACTGTGTAGCATGTGGATTTTAAGCGACATGTGCACATCAAATTTTGTATTCTGGAGAACGATTTTTACACAGAACGTGTTTAATTAAAGCCCGAACTGCATCCCATGCAACGGCTGTTGTGCCATCAAGAATTTCCAAGAAGCCTTGATCCTTCATTAATCTTCTGATGTCCGGCCTATTAAGCACACCTGAAATAAAATTATAGGGCTCTTAAAACAAGAGAGAGATATAATAAAATATATGAGCGAAAATCTCTCAAATGGGCCACCCGAAAGTGGACGGTCAAGATATTTTCGCACAAATCACTTTATTTGGTTTACAACCACTTGAGAGATTTTCACTCATATACAATCAAAAAACTACCTTCATTGATTTTTTCAACGGAAAGTTTTGGAAAGGCATTATTTTTCAAATATAGGAATGCAGTTTCGTTGACTTTAACCAACTGTTTGATGTAATTCTTAACAACACCAATTTTGATATGTAAATCGGGAAGCATGATTTTATTAAGCGCAATCAAGGGCTCGTGAACTATATTGAATTGGCCAATCGATTGTTCCTTTCTTTTTGCCCAATCACATTTGGTATAGTGATTGCATTTGGCTCTACTATCCCAAAGACAGAACAAACAACAGTATTTAGTGTAGCCCGTTTGCAT